GGAATGCAATCGCATACGACACGCGATTAGTCCCGGGGAAAGTATGATATCCCGGCGTCATCCAGAAGTCATACTGTCGTGATCCTAAAATTTTTGGGATCCATTGATTTTACACTTCCTAACCTAAAAAATTTGCAATAACAGACGTTCGAGTCAGCGTTGTTGAGCTAAGGCTGCGGTCATAATATGTAGAACGCGATAATTTCAAAGGAAAAAATTATTTTCACGGGAGGTGAGATATTTCCCACTTCCAGCCTACGTTTGTATATTGTGAAAACAGAGGAAGAAGGTGGTGAAGGTGTTTGCTTCCCAGAACGGGTCTAAATAGTCTGATCGTAAGATACATCCGACAGATGACGATTATACGATATGATTGAGATGATTAGCCTGGAACGGAGAAATTTTTTAGCAAAAGAGTTTTTAAATTTGTTATCTTGGTTCACAAAATTCACTCATGTCCGTGTAGGTTTGTTTTGGTTGCCCTGTATAGGCGCGTGCAAATGCACCGTGTGCGAGCGTACAACTTGTGAGGGAAGAAATGGGAATGGATATTTCGTTATATACGTTGGTCGTGTCACTGTGTTATTCGATGTTTGTACGCGTAATTTAACACATATTGAACCGTGCTCATAGCGGATGTGATTGCATTCTCCGATGAATAATCTCGCTGACGTGTAAGAGCAAGGTAAAGATGCTCACTGATGCGTTCGATGATCTTTTCAGTTTACTCGCAACATTGCTTCACCACGTCTTTACGTATCGATGTTCAATTTTGTTTTTGTTTTATTTTTGTTCTTTTGCATGAAGACGAACCGACAGAGGGTTCTGCTTTTCGTTCTTCTTCGTATTCTTATTTTCTTTTACACATAGAGACAGAGCGAAGCTCAACATACTAGTCCTTACTTTAAAACCAAAGTAAAGAGAAAAAACATTGTGTAGCTTTTAAGAATCTCCATTACGTATTCACACCTGTGTGTCTATACAGAAGACATAATTATAATTAATAATTCAATCATCGTAATTAGGTAAAGGACTAACCGATAAGCGAATAGATAAAAGGAATAAACCCGCTCGTTAAGTGTATCGTTTTACTTTTAATTCATTTTTTACGATTAACATTTTATCTAGCAACTTTTGTCGGCTAGGAATGTAAATTCTGTATCTGTACATTGTTTTCCTATTTCAACTATTAAAAGTGATCGTCAACTAATCGCTCCTCTTGTCATTTTACTGTAAATGATTCGACAATCCTTCCATTTCCAAAAGCTTAATATAAAACACAGGAAACTGGTGTCTCAGGATCTCTTAAAGATCGAATATATTATTCATTATAATCGGTATATATTATTCATTAACAAAATTTACCAAGCAATTAAAGAAATGGTATTATTTACGTAAATATGTGGGAATACTACCGTCTTATGTCTTCGAAGAACAACAAAACATAATACCTTCTAACTTTTAAATATTTTAAACATTAAATCTAATCCATAACATATTGTTTATTAAACATGAAGGTACCAGTGAATAAAGATATCGTATAAATTATAATTATATTTAACCAAATTTATTCACATTTTTATATTTTTGTTGCATAAATTATATTTGAAATTAATTAAATGCACTTAATACGCTGATAATGGTGGAGGTATAAAACAAATATTTAATCCTTGAAACACTAGATATAAACAATAACAATTTTATGTTGTAAGAAATCAAGACAAAATATAGTCATTGCAAATTCTATTGTATGTACAAAAAAATACTTCTGATACATATTTTCTCAAGCTTGACGTGTCTTCAAGTTTCTTTCACCTTCGTTTTCCATATCAAAGTAATGGCTAGTGATAATGACCGGCATATTTTTCACACTTTTCTTAATGTCTGAAACATCATTGCAAACACGATTCGTAATTCATTGAAAAAAAAACCATCAATCACTATTAAATATACTTACTCTTTATGAGATCAAATTTTCACCAACAACTTCGGAACATCAACACGGGTTTTCAATCGGAATAAATTTCGTTCGTAATGAATGCGCTGGACGTATCACTAAATCGGTGTTAATACAGACATCCTTCAGGTAGTCGACAGGTTCAAAATGGAAATTATATAATAAATATGCTAGTACTGTTTTTAATTCCATCATGGCGAATCGTTGTCCTGGAAATTGATAAACAAAACAAATATATAAAATTCCTCAAATATTAGCAAATATTTTGAAATTATTTTGTGCTACTTAAATATTATTTGAATCCGCCAATTTATATACAGCTGCAATAAAAAGAAAAAGGTAAAGTGTTTTTTATAACGAATTACAGTTACGAAATAGGACTTCCGGTGTGGGCTCTTTTAAATCTCAAAAAGTATAATCAAGTAATGCAATTTTATGGATCTGTTTTATACTTCTAAATTCATCCTAATATTCTTTCATATGACAAAACCATATATTCGTTTAAGATAAATAAAAAGATGTATCTCTAGCCTCCTAATAGTCAAAAAGATATTGGCAGCTACTTCAAGATGGAAGACAAGAGCTGTGCACTATGAAGTTCAACTATCCAAGCTTTCATAAAATGAATCATTAATTGTTAATCATTATGTGCAAAATTTACAGTACCTATGTCTATTTTGTCGTCACTACAGAATCACGGCAAAAGTAGCAAAGTATCATGAATAATAAATGCCAGTAAAGAGCCTTGGTAACAGGTAAATAGTGAAGACAACACAAAGAAATTCATAATACCAGTCTGCCCTTATCCTACCATAAATCTTGCACACAATGGATCGAAACGTCAAAGAAACCTTTCCTCGACTCGTTTCAATTCCCCTACTCTTTCGAAATATTTGGAATTTTTGGGGAAATCCTCGACCTTCCGGTGTCGTGCAGTCAGTTTCATTTCTAACACGGTTGAAGCACAAACGGTTCACGCGATTCCACGATACTTAGACTGAGGATGTCTATCGAAGTTTGAATTTTTCCATATGATGTCATAAAAAGTGAGATTAAACGATAATTTCTTTTCATCATTAATCGAGCCGTTCGCAGATCAAAGTGACTAACTTGATTTTTAGTACTTTCGGAAATTTTAGAACCGAAGCACTTGATTGAGTATAAATATAAAATATAATAATATAAATTTTTAATATGAATTTTCTACAGTTAATCGTATTGTCAAGTGAACGGCATAATAACTCGAGAACTTGCAAATAAAATTCTTATTTTATGGTGTTTTATTCAGAATCTAGTGATAACTATTTAAGTGAATTTTAATTCTTATAAGTTAATTTTCGAAAGTAAAATTTCCAGAAACATCCTGTTATTAGATACAATACTACTATGTGTACTAGCCTATGAAAGGTCATTTAAATATTTATGCTTTTGTCTTCTGAATATTTAATTAATCCATAAAACCATAAAATCTGCAGTCTAATTATGAATGTACATTAAGTGGTTAACTTTGATTAAAATTAGTGCAGTGTGCGTAAATATGTGTAAACGTATCTCTGTTGTGTGTATAACTATGCGATATTAAGAATTCAAATTACGCGCTCCGGAAGTTGGTACCACAGGGAAGAATTTCTGACTTGCAAAACGGTAAGCACTGTTTCAACTTTTCTTCTTCTATTCGCGAAACTTGCATGTTTTCGGTATCCTTCGCCTCGTGAAATTCATATTTTCCTCACCTATACAATTCCTGGGACCAGCGCTGAAAGGCACATAACAATAAGGATGACGTCCTTGAATGTTGTTGGGCAGAAATCTATCCGGATCGAAAGCATCCGGATTCGGCCAGTACTTTGGATCCCTGTGGACGTCCATTATATGGATGTTAACTATCGAATTGGCCGGCACCAAAAAATTACCTGGAAACGGGAAACTCTCGTTACCAGAAGATCGGTTCACCCTCGCGAAAATAAAAGGTTCAGCCAATCCATTTGAGTCTTTGCGTATTTTATTTTTATAAAAAAAAAAAAAATATAGTATTTCAGAACCCACTTTTTAGTGTCAGAAAATTCAAGCTAGAAATATAAATTATAGTAAATAGACAGAAATAACGCCTGGGTCCTCACGAACCCGTAACAGTTACAATTCTATGACCATTTCAGTCCAGTTTTTTTTTTGTTAGTACAACAACTAATTTCGTCTAATTACTGTAGTATCGAGTGATTGCTCTGTCGATACGCTGATTTTGAATGTCATCGAATAAGAAAATAAATACCCACGCGGTGTTTAGATTAATTTTATAATTCCAGATTAACCCTCATCCGTCCCTTGTGTTAATTTAACACATTTTTCTCCCAAGAAATTATGTTATTCTATCAGATATAATTTATTAATTTATTTTATATTAATTTTCTGCCACTGTGTCAATTTGACACCGAGGGACAAATTAAGTTGGGAAAATCAGGTACGAATGAGGGTGACGCAGTTCGAATACTTTTCAATTGATAAACGTGTTGTTACTTAAAAATCGATGATATTTCAGGTGTCGTTTGATAGTTACTTAATGTTATGTCAGTCTCTGGTGAACGCGAGATGAACGGCACACTCGGATACAGTCGAAGGGACTCTTTGATGCATCGTTCCAGGTACGGAAGGTTTGCCATAGCGGCCATGGTCATTTTGCCATCGTTTTCGTTCATAATCGCGGTCACTTCGTATCTTGCACGTTCCTGAAAACAGTCGCTAGACGGAATTATCTTAAATAATTATTCTATCGCTTGGCTTAGTAAATTTCTTATAACGTCGTCATTTTTCATACGTAAAATACATTTTTCTTACGAGATAGATAATACAAGTGTAGGAAACATTTAGTATGATATTCTTTAAGTTGTAAATTGAAAGACAACATTTTTTATAGGTACATTAGCAAAAAATTTTCGTAATACTCTTAGTTGGCTTTGGAAAATTTCTTTTCTCAATTTCCATCTTACGTATATAATTTACAATTTGCATTAGTCTATAATGTCTTGTGCATAATCGTTTGCGTACAGATTTCATTTAGTTTATTAGTTAATGGATATACCTATGTGATGAAAAAATCTATTTTTTCAGGAATTTAATTATGACTCGATTCAATAGGATCCATCATGTTTTAATAGACAAATTTATCCTTCAAAAAGACTAAATTGACGACAAAATATGACGTTGTTAGTAATTTTCGATAATATCTTGTTTTGTGCAGAGAATTCTAATTATTCGTAATACCGATGGAATTAATAAAAAGTGATATCTGTAGTGAATAAATTACCTGTATATCCTTATGTTCAGCTAGAAGCATAATCGTGAAACAAATAGACATCGCAGTAGTATCGTGTCCCTGTCATAAGAAGAATAATTTGTTTATTTTATACCCGTAAAATTAAGTGTTTGCTTTTTGTAAAAAGAGCAAGATAGAATTAGAAAACATACCCTGAACATAAAGGTGTCCACTTCTTCTCTGATACCTTCATCATCTATCTGATTGTTTCGATGCGCTGCTATCAGAAGATCCAACATGGCCAGTCTCCTTTTGCGGACTGTAAATAGGTAGAATTGTTTTAAAACCTTAAAGTTTAGAGTTATTTAATTAACAATTAAATATGTCCAATTATACTATGTTAATCGATTAGAATTCGGATAAAAACGTTGCTATTATAAATGTAAGAAGAACTTACTTCCAAAATACATATCATCTTTCTTTTGACCTTGATTGTCTGCAATGTGTGATAAATAAGCACCATTCGTCTGCTCGTGATATTCCTTTCTCTCTTTGATGATCTATAACACAGTGTAATTTACAGAAGAAATAGTAATAAGCTGATCCTTTTCTCAAGTGAAAATAAAATAGATCCTTCCAGTACAGCAATATTGGAAAGTGAATTATGATTGCTAGGTAAACAAATTTGTCTTTCTTTTATTAGTAAATACATTTTTTGTATCGTTGTAGAATCCATTTTTCCTCGTGTTTTACCTGCTTAGTGAATCCGTGTAGTATTCCAAGCAATTTACTTTGACGCCAACCTTCCGGAAAGAATTTGAAGAGAAAGTCGTTTTGGACCCATGGTCTTAGGAACCTACAAAAACGATATAACTTCGTTATCAATTAATTTCATTATTAATGATATTCATTATGCCATATATTAATAGTAAATAATCGAATTTCCGTAAATTAGTATTCAGAAACAAGATTTTCTTCTCTCCATTGGGACTTTCATTAGACTAAAACTTAATTATTTTTGTCATTTCATTATTTATCGGTTATATTTTTCATGCAAAATAGGATATATGTAATCATAATAGGGCCAATCAAGCGATGGCCCTCTACATAGACAAAAAAATTATATATGGACTACAAATATTTCTAAAAATCCATCTTGAAAGAAATCGACTGAAAGTTTATCAGACCCACTTACTAACTTTAACTATAGTATTCCCTCTCTATAATTGTGTTATGTCAATCTTTTTAGAATCAAAGAGCAAAAAAAATTGGCGAATAAAAGAGCAGGTAATAGACAAAAAAAGGAAAAACGATAGAAGCAATTCGCCAGTCAATGAAACAATTGCAAAATGATGTCTATTGGTCTCTATGATCGCATTGCCTATCAAAAACGATGCGTCTATAGGGAGGGACCATATTTTACACGTATAAAGACATTACAGACCATCGTGAAATGAAACCGCAAATGTTAAAAAACACTATACCATTACTCCCAGATAGCACACGACGCCTTGAAGACGCCCATTTTGCGGCTATTTTAAATCTAAGGCGCCTTTAAGCCGTCTTCAAGACGTCATGTTCTATTTCGGCTTAGTTACCTGTACACTAAAAGCTGGCCCATATGGTATACGGCGTTCCGATATTTCGTCTGAAATGCACCCTTATCCTTCAACGAAGTTCCCATCGCGGTCTCTGGAAACATTTATTCATGCATTCAGAAATTACCAAGTTGCAAGCTGCTAATTATTATACCGCGAATCTTTACGCGGACTGAAAGCTTTCTTTATTTCAAAGCTTTCTTAATCAAGCAGGACTATTTTTTGCTTCCATTAAAAGTTTCGAGCGATTGTAAACGAGTTAAAGATCTTGTTGAATCTTTATTGGGTGCATAGAGATCGCAGACTTTCTTTTGCAAATACTAACAAATCTTCAAATGCAAATACTATACTTAAACGTCTTAAAATCTCAGATTCTGTTCGATAATTTTGACTAGATCTTCCTGCAGATCCGAGAAGTTCCTTAACCCTCTCGTTCCCATAGATGCCATATGACTATATACTACAAACTATGAAATAAAATATTAGCATCGTATCTTTCTTCATATCTGTGAGTAAATAATAGTTTCTTCTAGTCTTATACAGCAGGACACAACTTTGAATATGCATTTGAAAGCTTATCGGTAAACATCGACATTATTATCCTCAGCTGCTTTCATTCATTAGAATTCACTGTTGAGCATCGTTAATAATAGAGTAAAAACTTACAAAGTCTTAGTTTCTTTCAAATATTTCGAGAGGATTTACTCATCAAAATTAAGAAAAAATTTGGTTTCATTACGTACAATAATTATCTAGAGTATATTATTTCACAGAACTGTGATAAAAGAAAAAGTTTCTAAATGGCAACGAATGAAAAACATCAATTAACACTTTCAGAATGTTAAAATGTTCTTGTGAACAATTTATATGTCATGCAATATAGACAGAAATAAAAGAGAATATTTTTTTTTCGTAATTGTTAAGTAATCTGGGAATGAAAGGGTTAAACGAAGTCTCCGGCGGAAATAATTTAAATGCGTAGGAACACATGTAACTAATCGATACATAAAACAAACAGCTTGTAAAAAAAAAACTTTACACGATGAAATCGACGTGTTTCATAATTTACCGCATATCACGTTCAATGTGTGCTCGCTAATGAGCGGCAACAGATCTTTGACGACCGGTCCCCCCTCGCTCTTCAGGCTTTTGCTCACACGTTCAGAGTCCTCGATAAAAATGTCGGCGAATTGTTGCAGCACGTTGAAATGAAAGGCAGGCGTCAATATCTTCCTGCGTTCTTGCCACTTTCGACCTGCGATGAATTTATTAATTGCATACAAAGAAACGATAAAACCGAGAACCACATCTGCCATCGACGCATTAACGTTTACGTTTGTTCATTGACACTCTGTATCAGTTTCGTATCTGGTTTCTCATTGCTAGACTGCGGAAGTTTATGCAAATATAGAATTTTATGAATTAATTTCTCGAAACTGAACGCAAGGAAAATTTTATTTGGCCTGTTTAATGGTTCTGGTATGTACGAAATAAAATAAAAACCTGGATACGCCTTCTAAAACTTTACATTGTTTTGAATTTTACAAATGCATTATAAATGAATTTTATAAATCAATTTTATGCAAGTATTCTATTAATGCATAAAATCTGCAATCTACTCATTACGTGTATTTTCTGCTTTTATTTTCAATTAATTAACCCTACAATTGTGATCCAATATGGACAATTTTGTTAATTCTTATCTCTATTGGCATAAACATATGGTTCCAAGAATTTTTGAGAAAAACATATTATTATGAATAATGGATTAAACTAGAGTTCCTAGCGGAGATTTTGTGAACTAAAGTTTTGAAATAGATACTTAAATTGCTTATTAGGGATGCATTAGATTATTGATTTAAAAATAACACCGATGTGGAATTTTTTTTGTAAAAATGAAAACTTAATAAGAACAATTCTTGAACGATTCTTATTAATAAAATCCGTTTTATCGTCCCTCGCAAAGAGATTGTTCTTCAAATTCGGCGTACAAAATTATTACAGTCCAGTTTATCGAAAGTTTAATGTTTCACAAGATATTTTGGTCTTCGAGTAATAACTGAAATGAATAAAATAAAATTAGCAAATTAATGAAACTTGAATTAACAAACACGCTTGCATCATCACTCTCTTCTTTGCGAAATGAAATCATTAATAAAAGAATTAAGTTTTTATCCGATCCACAGTCATGAAAATAAATGTTTAGAATTTGATTTTTGCATAAGCATTCGCAGTCTAGTTATTAGAAAGGAAATACACATAACGATAGTGATTCTACGTGAAAAGATGAATTGAAAATATGGAATATAAATTCCTCGTGACTCGCTTGGTTTTCAAATTAATCAAATCTGCATTATGACAGTATGTGAAACGAGTTTCCAAAATGTTTCGTAAATATTAATTGAAACCCGGAAAACTGTTACCTGCGCTGGTAAGAAGTCCAGTGTTAAACCAAGGCAGCAGAAGGTTGTAAATGGAGCTTTTCTGGGTAGATTTTGGATTTCCGAGGATTTTCTGCATAAATTACAAACGTTCAATGAAAATAGTATTTTTTGATACAAATTATTTTCAATTATTTACGCAAAAGTAATGACCGTCGTATTTAAGACAGTAATATGATTTTATTTCATTTCATCGATAGGGAATGCAATTTTCTTCAGAAAAGTGAAGCAAAAATTGTTGAAAATTGAGGGAACTATTTCAAGTAAGAGAAGCTGTCGCAATTGTTCTATGTTAACAAAGATTTTTGGAACAAAAAATTGGCACTACTTTTACATAAGCTTAACCTTGAGGACCGGCACTGTTTATATTTTGCTTTTTATAATTGCAAATTTAAGTATACATGATCATTATATAATTATTTTATCTTTCTGGGCATAATAATTTTTTTTAATACGAGATATGTATCAATACAGAAAATATAGTGATGCTTTTTTGTGAAATTTTTTTGAATTACCTCGAGATCATCCGGATGACGAATATTGAGAAACGGCTCCGTAAAGCCCCACAGCCTAAAAATCGGGTAATAGGTACGGTTCATTTCCCGTACCATGTTCCAAAGTTCCGCTGAAACATCAAAATTCCAGTTTCTTAGAAATAATTTCCAACTGTTTTTTAATCATTCACTGTAAATGAGTCGAAGAAACAATCCGTTTGTAATTTTTTACGTAAATTCTGAATCATTTTTATTGTTCGAGCATTACGTAGATGAATAAAATTTTTATTCTCCTAATTCAGATAGCAATAGGTATAATTGATTTTCTCGAAAATAAGCACTGACAAATAATGCAACGGAAAATATTGAGTAACTCGTTGATGCATATAATTAAAATGGTAACTTTGTGCTTTTAGCTCTTACTCGAAAAAACTTTTGAATGTATATAAGTTATTCCACGGTAGTTCTAGTGACAAGGAATTGTATCTCCTTGATTTTCTCGAAAACAAGCAATGGCAAATAATGCAATGAAAAATATTCAGCAACTCGTTGATGCACTTATATAAAAATGGTAACTTTGTGCTTTTGACTCTCACCAGAGGAAACTTGAAATGCGATCAAGTTCCCAAAGATCGGCATCACCTGTGGTCCTGGTATATTGTTCACCATCCTTCCGAATCTTCTATAATGGAGGATGAAGAAGTGCGACAGCACGCCCAAAACAATAAAGAGTAATATTCCGATGATCATTTTTGTAGATCGTTGACGTTGACAGTAGTTTAAGAGTATTCTTCTATGTAGCCTTCATTGGGTTCCAATAAATTTGCTGTAACATCAAAGTGTTCTGTTATTTTACGAATTTCTTCCACTGCAATTATTATGATCCATAGATTATAAAGAATAAACAATGACGATTTCGAAATTAAATTATATTGTAGTAACCGATGCTTATTACCTACTAGACGGCTTTTATACGCTTGTAACATACATAGTTAAATATACAAAGCAGAATGAATCAAAAACTTTAGTGGTATTTAATACAATTTTTATTTTATTCCTGGCCGATTAAAATTATAAGTAAAACGATCGAAATGCGAATTCACATAAACATCACATATTAATCAATTTTGATATGTGTGTTAAATACATTTCAATCTGTGGTGAATTAAGCTTTATTTCTGTAATACTTAGAGAATGTTTAAAGAAATAATCCAGAAAAGAATAGAAAAAGAATCTAATATTTAATAAAGTAACATAATTTCACAATTTCAATCTAATTATTCCGTTTCATTCTCCCGCCATTGTCTAAAAATATATTTCGAAGTACCATTCAGTTCACGAAAAATCTTCAAAATGCTGTAAAATATAAACTATATGTAATAACATTTAAAAACTTGATGTTCTTTTCAATTCGATACGGCCTTTAAATCACGAAACAATATTCTATTTCGGTTAATTTATCTACATATAGCCATCGCCAGATCGAGTCACGATTAAATAACAAAATATAAATCTAATCTGAACATGATAAATACTGTAATCCGTATCGTTACCGGTTAATCGCATTGTACTTACAAATACATTAATCAAGATGTTCAATTTCGTATTGTTTGAATTTAGAAATTTTATTTAAATATGACACGATACTTAAATATAACAATGAACGTTTATCTTTCAATTACACTGGCAGAATATTTTATTCCTCTGTTAACATACAAATCAATAGTACAAAATGGCTCGTCGTTATTTGTGTTACAAAATATAAACCGGATATGACCGAACATTGACAAATTTCTGTTTGTTTTTTTTTCACTCACTGCCGTTCTTTTTGCCAGCACCGACAGACCGTCTCGTTCGATCGCGAGGCGTCGGTCTCCGAAACTATCGATCTTATTAACGAAGATTAAGTCTCTTAGTCACGGTTGTGCAGTCAATGGTCAATTAAAAAATCAATCGGCGCAATTAAACATTGACTTTACACATGGCCACGGTTAAACTGTATTAATATTCAATGTGTCCGGCTCATTTTTTAAATAATGCATAAATAAGCCGTTACGTTTTTTTCAAATAAAGCAATAATGTTCTGAATCTGTCACAGATTTAACATTTGCGTAGCTCAGTTTTTAAGGGACGATCATCGTCATCATTGACCAAAGTTCGTTAAAAATAATTGGTAATATAAACCGATTAAGATTGTCATTCTATTATATGTACTAATAAATATTTTAGTAGGTACAATCTACTATTTTTTAGTACATTCTGTACTTGTCTCAAAAACACTCACGCTGCGTTAATAATATGTGCTATTCTGAATTTAAATTGGATCACAAACTTGCAAACACAATTACTTATTGGTACATTTAATAATTATGTATAACTCATGATAATAAGAAATTTAATGAATTTTTTATTTTCGTAGTCTCCCTCATTAAAAAGTCCGCGTTACGCCTGGAGGAGTCTTCGAACATTCATTGAGGATTTACTATATTTATATAGTATTTGGTAAAAAAAGATAAATATGGGTCACGACTCCCTAGGCGGTCGCGAGGAAAAATCTCGTCCAAAAAGGGGTCGTGCCTTCAAAAATTTTGGGAACCACTGGTCTAAAGAATGTTGCAGCTTAATAGTTAATTTATTCACTAACATGAAGTCGTAAACGTGATGTAATATGCGCTATCTGTATGTTATACACAGTGTGTCCCACCCAAGATCGAACACCTAAATTATTTCTTTAATTTCAACTTTATAAGAAATATTTCAAAAAGAGGAATATCGTATACGGAACATTTTTTTTGTGGTCACTTTTTTTCGAATTTTTTTAGATCCATATATTTTTCCAGAGAGCATGTGCATTTTTTTTATAGCATTATGTAGCACGTGTCAAGATACATTCAAATATGTCTAACTGATGATCTTAAGGTGAACCTGAACATTAAAAAAATAATGAAATAACGAAATGAGCAATGTAAAAAGATCACAAAATTCTAAATACGTCCAACACAATTATTTCGAAATTGAATGTTTCGCGAAAGTTGCAATAAGTAACTTAACGTAATTTGGCGTTACTGTTGTGAAAATAGTGCGCCACTCACTGTCATTGGAAGGTATTCAAACACTAGAACATACTCTATTAACTTGTGATGGTGCACCAATAGTGTTAATCGATAAACATTATCTATTTATCTACAGACACGATGCATTACGTTCCGAATGTCGTCCAGAATCGAAATTTTTACCAGCAAAATTTGGAAACTTATAAATTTTATTCAAATAAGAGTGGATAAATGAATAAATTTTTATCAATTGTACGAATCCTCTTTGATTATCATCCACTAACAATATTCTCAACGTGTTCATGAAAGTCTGAAATTTTAAGGAATTTCTATTTTTTTAATTTTAACTGAAATTGATGATACAAAAAGGATCTGAGAAGAACAAGAATGCATAAAACAAATCGTCCACGGTTCATAATATTATAAGTAGACAGTGAGATTTATTGGAAGAAGAAAGAAATTTGTTTTTGACCCTTTGAAGTACTAAATCTCGATTCTTGACCACTGTGCGACGCGTTCGATCGACTTTCGATCACAAGGACCTATCGTTTCTCGAGGATCACACCGGTGTTGATTCAATTCGGACCACTGAAATCCTCTTCTGAGTCGGGGCATCCGACGTAATTTTTAAATGCACTGTATCGCGCGTTATATTTGAAAAAAAGATCTCCTCGAAGCAACGGGGGGCGTCAGATAGAACGGTTTTTACGATTTCGCGACGTACAATTGATAGATTTAACGAAAATAAAACATACGTTCGCTAGAGAGAAGAGAACAACAACGATAAACGCGTAAACATGACAATCACTGACCCCTGTTGTTTTCTTCACGTGAGTACATATTTACTACGTTTAAATGTCTCGAATCTATACATATATTACAGCTGCGGTTCCTACATAATTACCCGAATTCACAAACATTGATAATTTGTACGGATAAGTTTATCGCGGGAAATGAGAGTAACGTTTGAGATTGGGCGAGTTCGTTCAATTACGGTGACTCGATATTAATTTCATGTGTCAAGTATTATTTTGTAAACAATGTGAGAGGACACGAAATGTAGGAAAACGAAGGTGAATTTCGAAATTCTACGATACTGGGTGTAATGAGTTAGTATAGAGAACTGAAGATATGTAGTAGTAAGTAGAAACAAATGAGGATTATTCGAAAAAGTGAGAATTCTGAACAATGGTGGCTTGAAAACAATGCATTGTAAAGAGTACTGTCTTGATAATAAGAATTCTGAGACACGAGAGTTCAAATCAATGGAAGACCTAATCTACGAGAGCTGTAATAGACGAAAGTCCTAATTCACTGGAATTGTAATCGACGAACGTTCTAATCGTCCTGGGTTCTAATCGTCCAAGGTTCTAATCGTCCTGGGTTGTAATCATCCTGGGTTTTAATCGTCCTGGGTTCTAATCGTCCAGAGTTATAATTTATACGATTTCTGAACTACCAGAATTCTAGTCTACCCGAATTCTAGTCCACCCGAATTCAAATCCACCCGAATTCTAATTCACCCGAATTTCAATGCACCAGAATTCGAATTTACTGGAATTCTAATCTACTCGAACTCGTATCTACTCGAATTCTAATCTACCCAAATCCTAATCTACCCAAATTCTAATTCACCCGAATTCTACTCTACTCAAATTCTAATTTACTGGAATTCCAATTCACCCCAATTCTAATTTATTAGAATTCTAATCCACCCCAATTCTAATCTTGCCCGAGATCAAATCCACAAAATTTCTAAACAAAACCGAAACATATCCTTTCCATAGACTCCAAGTAAAAGGATCCACAACGAAATCCCATTGACCACTCACCCTATTAATCGTTCCAGGCCCCAGCCACGTGTGAACACAACCCCAAACCAAATGAAAGTTTCCGGAAGCCCGCCCTGATATTGAGAAAATTCGGTTCGCACACTTGTCTCGGGACTCGGTGGACTGCCTGTGGCAATAGCTTATGAGGAACTGTCAACGCGGATAAATACTCGTTACGGGCTACGTAGTCATTCCCACTACGATACAAACGCAGACGAAAAAAAAAAACGCATCAATCACGAGATATGTTTACCGAAACCGAAATGTACGATTATTATCGGCAGGCAATGACGCGGTCGCGGCAATTGTGAAACATCGCGACGGACCAGATTTTTTTCACCTTTCACCCCCTTTTCCATCGCATCCTCGCCGCACTCGGACCCGCGTATCAAACGTGTCTCCCGCCGCGATTGGTCGCTCCTTGGAGGATGTAAACGGAAGAACGAGAGATGAAACGAAAACAATATCTCCTCCTGTACATAATGTCGCCAACGGACGACAACTTTTTACGTATTCTGACAATCAAAACAACCATTCGACAGAGATATTTATCGAGCCAATCTGAATCTACTGGCGAACGTACGCCGCTGTGTCGGGTGCATGTCCCTCTTTCTTTTGCGACGTTTTTCCTTGCCTAATGAACGGTGTAGGATCGCGAAATTATGAATGAATTTTATTATAAATTATTTGAGGATTATTATCATGACGAAGAAATAATTTTCTAAATCATACTGTTGGTGTTAGTATATAGGGTGATGAAAAAAATAGGGTTAATAACTTGTAGGGTAGATAGTACTCAATAAATTATGAAAGAAAGTTCTAATAAAAAGTAATATTCTCGAAGTTGTAGGCAATTTTTTGTTTCGGTTGTATCGTGTGGAAACAATGGAGAAAATTGTAAAAAATCTTCTCGGGAAGCATGAAGACTGTATTTTTTCAGTACTTTTATAAAAACGGTGGAAAGAGCATTATTATCCTTTATACGTTTCCTATGCTGTCTATTTGAACCCATGAACGGTGTTTGAAAAGTATACTCGTCATGTGAAAAAATAAAATACCTTCTGCTATAAAAAGTGGAGTTTTATTAAAAATTGAGAAATATATTTCTTTTATTAAAATAAAGTAATCCAATTAATTATGCATACAGCTACACGTTTCCAAAACAAAACTCCACCGTTAAAGGGTTAATGAGGGACAACGTGCAACAGCTTCGAACATTCAGATTGGTTCAAGTATCGGGTTAATAACTAAAATAGTAGAAGAGTTTATGGAAACTAACGAAAAGACGAACAATACAAAAGTGTTAAGTGTCAAGCATAGAATGGTCCCGAAATTTTTTTATTCGCTAAATAATAATTAATAAAGTTTCTCTATTTGGTCCATGCAGGAAAAATTACTTCTTTCTGCGAGACACCCTGCATGTATCTACGCGGAAGATTTATCAAAACCTAATAGATCAAATTAAATGGAATATCTATAAGTAAATATTTCGTCCTTTTCGGATTTTTTCTTGTGTCCTTTAAATCATTAACACTAAAACTACCAAACCCTTCAGAAAGGTGGGAATTAGTACGCCAAAACCGGTCATTGTCACCGGTCGTGTTAGGTTTAGTGTTAACTTACTCTAGATAATCACCTATCCATTGCTTAATACTCGTTATCCACGCGTACTGTATTCATCGATTTCTTTAAAAAAATCACCCTTGCCCGATACTTCATACATTAATCAATTGTTAATCTGTGAATGATATCAGAATTACAGAACGCCTACCCCGGATAAGATAAAAATTGATGAAAATCTTATCTAATCCGCGAATTCAATGCAAACAAGTGGATGTTAGCGTTAGTTGAAGATTAGCGTTGATGTTGTTTATAATAATACCAGCTGCATAACAATGTGTTATCCTTAGTTCTGTGAAATATATGTTTCTTTAACGAAGCAAGTCTTTCTTGTACGCAAATGATAGTACATGATATAACGTTCATGACGAATTTTAGTTAGGTTAAAACATCTAAGAAAAACAGGAACAAAAAGGTTGTATTAATGACTTGATCGAGTTCACTGAGCGTTAATTAAACATTCTTGGGGAATTATTGAAGAAATCAACTACGTCATATGTGTCCGATCATAAAGCAGAAATTAATTATAAATTAAATAAAAAAAGATAGCCGTACACGGTTCCCGTATCGAAATGTTAGGCTGAGTTATAAATAAATAACTTTCGTTCACATTTCGTAAATTCATGTCGATCCACGACATTTCTACAGTTAATGTCAAATCGTGATTTTACATGTTCTAAAATTGCACACGATATACATATGTATGTTAGAAACATTAATCCGATGCCTTTGATTTTTATTGTCACTGATTAATATCTAACTTTCGTTAGTAAGGATTTATAATATTACGGACAGTAAAGTAGATCTCAGTGTTTTCGGTTGGAAAATTTACATATTCCCTCCAAAATCAACTAAAAAATACCAAAAAGTAGGTCGGTTCCATATCGATATTTTCGACTACAAAATAACAAGATAAAACATTTGTATCAGTCTTCTAGTTTTTATATAAAAAACGAAAATACATATTTGTAGAGTGTTCTTTGGAGAGAATATCTCTCCAAAATTTTAGTAGAAACAAAAAATTGATGTTGTGGTACCAGATATATATCTGCTACCAAACTGTCACTAGAAATAAAAAAAAAAAACAGAAATATTTCATTAAGCTAGGTGAAGAAAACTGGTACTTGTTACAGCCGATTTTGAAAATATGAGTTTTTCGAAAAATGATAGCACGTATTGCAAAGCCTTGTCAGGAATTCTCCAAGAGTCAACGAGCAACAGGCCATCCGCCTTAAACTCCACTTAAATAACGTTTACGCTAACACAGATGTGCAAACATACATTACATACGCAATAAATGTAAATTTATGGAATATTAGCAACTTTACTGCTCTTATTTATCACAATTTCTCATACAATATATATGTAACAATAGTTTTTTCTTTCAAAACAGTATTCTACAATTACTCGTGGATATACGTATGTAAATACATACATTGCATACACATTACATGTACATTTATGGAATATTAAGAACTCTATCACTCTTACTTATCATAATTTGTGATACGATATACAGTGTGTCCAGTTTGTATACCCGTTATTATATCTGTAACTATTGAAAATGTAACAAATATTTCGTATAAATCTTCTTTGATTTCGTAGAGTAAATCTGATAGTATTATTTTTTTAAATTGTTGTTTACAGAGATTTTACAAAAATATTTAATTTTTTATCATGAAACCACGTATTTTTATTATTGTCGTGTTGTTAAGCAATTTCAAGGTGAATGCGACGACATATTTGAACATGCTGTTTCAACAATAATTTCTCGGTTAACTGTATGAATACTGGTGCCAATTTCATTGTTGCTTGTCTACCGGACCACACGGTATAGATAAAATACGCTAACCGAATTTGACATTTATCCGAGGAAAGGAATTTTTTGCCCCAAAAAGAATCGTCCTACATCAACAAGATATTATCGGGACATATTAAAATTTACTCCAATCTTATGCCGGAACCACTTCTGGTCCTTTGATGGATGTACCGTACAAAATTTGATCAATTTCTGATAGTGTTATCGTAACCAGGATTTTTCTGTATAACACGCGATTAGATTTCTCTCTGATTTGTTTCTCCAAAACTACCGGGTATGTTTTTCATTGTTTCAATATGCAATTACTTTTATATAGGAATTTTTCTACTTTCTAAATTTCTGCATATTAACTGAAAGAATTCCTAACTGAACTAGAATTGTATACTGAATCGTGATGTGAAATTTCCGTTTTGAAATTTTTCGGTATATTTCGATGTTTTAAGAAAATTTCATCAAACATCGCAAAGGCAATTTCATAGCTACCATTTCTTGATACAAATCGGTATAAAATTGACTCCTGTTTGAATGTTGGCTAGTACTTGTACTTACTTTCAAATTATTAGACTACTGCACATTTCTCCTGTGAGCAACAATATTTGCAAATTGAGCTAACTGTAATTTTCTATTACTGGAAAGCTGTTTATAGCGAGCTTTGCAATTAACAATATCTCTCTCAACCGTGCAATTTATATCCGCTGTTTCAATTATCCATTTAGAAGTATTAAGATTAAGAGTCAATCTGTTGCCAGTGATTTAAGAGTTGATTTTGAATAATTTAGTGTTCCTGCTCCTGAAGATGCCATTATTTTCTCTTGATTGACTCTAGTTTTGAAGATACGCAGATGTCTTAAATATTTATGCAAAATAAAGAAAAAACATGAAACGTAGCAATTTCTATGACGTTAAATTAATTTTATTTATAAAACGCTATAAATAGAGACAGGATAATTACATAGAAAGTATTAGAAAGTTACGAAAAAAAAATACAAAGAAATACACAATCACTTCCATAAAATTCACCTCTGAAACAAAATGAAATCACTTATTTTATTCTTGTCTTTGAAAATCACTAACCCGAAAGTGAACAAATTTCAGAAGTGGAGTTTGAGAAGAGGTATCAAAAAAGCAAAAGTGGTAGATACTTCAAATCGACACGAACGTTAAATTTCAACAGTTTCGATTGTGTATTCTAAAAATCACAGCGAAAATGTAATGCTCAATCAAGATTCTCCAATAAATATACTGTGAAACTGATGTTAAATCCCTGACAGTATGAACAAAATTTGTCGTTGTAGGCATCGTATAGCAATTAATCAAACACTCTTGATATATTGCCCAAAGCACTTCGAAGATGATGGAATTAAACTAACATTTCAACGTTTGTATGTGTATTGCTCTACAAACAGCAACATTGTTTACATTTCTGAAGATAATACCGAATTCAAATTACACCGAACAGACTTACTATAAACTGATCATACGACAGTTGTAATATTAAAATGTGACACGTTCAGATCATAATTTATGATTTGTAAACTGTAGCGAAGAAAATGTTTTCGCAAGAAACGTATAATAAATATGTAGAAATACGTAACATATTTAT